AAGACAGTCGACAAACTACTTCGCCACAAGTTACAGCACTATGAACTCCTTGATAATTTGCTTCATTTCCGTAGCACTAGCTCGCGCCTTTACGCCCATGAATGTGTTCAGAAAATCAACTTCGAGACTCCAAGCATCCAACTACGACTTCGCGCTTCTCTTTGATTGTGACGGAGTGATCCTTGAAACTGAAGAATTGCATAGACTTGCATACAACAAAGCGTTTAAAGACTTTGATCTCACCATTGACGATGAAGCTGTTGAATGGAGTGTAGAGTATTACGATGTGCTTCAAAACAGCATTGGTGGAGGAAAGCCAAAAATGTTTTTCCACTTCAAGCAAACAATGGGTGGGAAATTCCCCATGTCCGATGACAAACCAGCTCCAGAGACTCCCGAAGAGCAACAAGAATTGATTGACAGTCTTCAAGATCAGAAAACTGCGATATACCAAAGCCTTGTTGAAGAAAAGGCCATTCCGCGCCCTGGAGTTGTTCAGTTGATGGATGAAGCACTCAACGACCCCAAAATCGCAGTTGGCGTCTGCTCAGCATCAACAAAGGAGGCCGCACTGAAAGTTTTAGCTGTGACTCTCGGAGAAGAACGTCAAAAGAAACTCGATGTTTGTATTCTTGGAGACGATGTCAACGAAAAGAAGCCGAGCCCAATGATTTACAATGAAGCCCGCGAAAGAATTGGCATCGAAAGCGACCGATGTGTCGTTATTGAGGATAGTATGGTGGGACTCAGAGCTGCAAAAGCTGCGGTACGTTCAATGTAGTGGCTACGGGGTTCTTTTTGCACTTCCGCGCATCTCAAGCTGCTTTGCTTTAGGGTATGAAATGTGTTGTGACGTACACAGCAAGTACGGAAAATGAAGACTTTTACGCGGCTGGATGCGATGCAAAGATCCCCGATCTTCTAAGCAGAAAGGTGGGACTTGATAGTATTTTTTCTTCGCTACGAGAAGATGGGCTTGACTCCGAACTGCTTGTGGGTATCAGGGATCCAAAACCTTCGGAATCTATCTAAGGGACAAACCATCATTGGTTGTCGCAAAAAATATCTGAAAGTGTATTTGGGCAAGTCAATCTGATCCTCCTTGAGGAATTCTAGAAGAGAGTTACTAAGGTGTTTTCATGGATGATTTCAAGAAGCCGCGTATATTCGTGCTGCAATGAAGGTCTCTTTCTTTGTATCATATCATTGACATTTTCGCTCAACATGATATCGATTCTCTAGCTTCGCACCTAGTCGTCCTTGGTCAATCCGAGATCTTGCAAAATTGCAAACGCGCGGTCTCCGATGTCTTCAATGGAATTAATTTGTTCGATGTGTTGGATTCTAGCTTCCACTGCAGTATCCAGAATACAATGTGAGATCAGACGCCAGGGTTGACAACGAAATCATTCAAGAATTACTTACCCTCTGCTTTTGCTTTCGCATCGGCCTCTGCCTTCATTCGAGCCGCTTCCTCGACTTTTGCCTTTGCTTCAGCTTCTGCCTTCAGTCTAGCCTCCTCTAGGGTATGCACAAATCAATATAAGATCAGATTTGTGCGTTGAAGACCACATCATTCAAGAATTGCTTACCCTCTGCTTTTCTCTTGGCCTCGGCCTCTGCCTTCATTCGAGCCTCTTCCTCGACCTTTGCCTTCGCTTCAGCTTCTGCCTTCAGTCTAGCCTCCTCTGCAGTATCCAGAAATCAATATGAGCTTTAACGGCAGGATTGACACATCATTCAATAATTTCTTACCCACTGCTTTTGCTTTCGCCTCGGCCGCTGCCTTTACTCTGGCCTCTTCTTCTGCCTTTGCTTTCGCTTCAGCTTCTTCCTTTAGTCTAGCCTCCTCTGCAATAACCAGAAATCGATATGAGCTTTGGCGGCAGGATTGACACATCATTTAAGAATTGCTTACCCTCTGCTTTTGCTTTCGCCTCGGCCGCTGCCTTTACTCTGGCCTCTTCTTCAGCCTTTGCTTTCGCTTCAGCTTCTTCCTTTAGTCTAGCCTCCTCTGCAATAACCAGAAATCGATATGAGCTTTGGCGGCAGGATTGACACATCATTCAAGAATCTCTTACCCTCTGCTTTTGCTTTCGCCTCGGCCGCTGCCTCTGCCTTTACTCTGGCCTCTTCTTCAGCCTTTGCTTTCGCTTCAGCTTCTTCCTTCAGTCTAGCCTCCTCTTCGGTATCCAGAAATCGATATGAGCTTTGGCGGCAGGATTGATACATCATTCAGGAATCTCTTACCCTCTGCTTTTCTCTTCAGCTCGACCTCTGTCTTGACTCTAGCTTCTTCTTCAGCCTTTGCTTTCGATTCAGCTTCTGCCTTTAGTGCGAACTCCTTTTCGGCCATTGATTCCTCTGCAGTATATAAATCAGTGTGGGTTCGGATTGACAAGCACATCATCCAAGAATTGCTTACCCTTGCCTCCTTCCTCTGATTCGACTGCGTCAGACGAAGTTTCCACTACAACAGATGGCTCATTCAGTGCTGAGGCCACAGTTGCAACTGATGCAGCTGGTGCCGAGGCAGTGTCAGCTGTCGGCGACGACTTTTTCTTGTTTTTTTTCTTCTTCTTCGCATGCAATGCCTGCGAAGAAACTTTTTGACCCACAAAAGCAGGCTTTAGTGAGACTGGAGTTGTAAAACTGCTTGCTTGTGGCAACACAGTTCCGAGGATCACAGCTAGTAGTAAGAAGCGAGACAACATGATTAGATAGTGAATAATAACACGAGGAGGCACTGGTTGTAAATTTGTTGGATTTTGTCTTGTGACACCAAAGAACCCGGATGATACCGTGTTGAGTTGGGTGGGAGGACGAACACGTGTACAGTACCTGGTACAAGTTTAAAGTACAGTAGCGTAGTATTTTCCTTATAACATGACTTCTCTACCTACATTTCCAGCTTAGCGGTGTACTGCGTAATGGCAAGGATAGAGACGATTCCACCCATCAGTGCAGCGAACTTTTTCCATTTGTGCTCGGACTCTTCCCATTCCTCTGGTATTACTTCCGTTGCGCCAACATAAACAAATGTTCCAGCAACTACCGCAACCATTATGGCATCTACAATTGGAGCTGCAAACTGATTAACAGCCATTCCCAAGGCAACACCAATGGGACCCATGGCGCTGAATATAGACAAAAAGCGAATGATTTCACCCTTTGATAGTCCTGATTTCAAAAACGCGACCAATAGTGCAATCGACTCGGCAGGCTATCCAACGAGGACAGAAACAAGTTAGTATACCTGAGCACATGATCGTCAATAAGTATGGAATACGTACTTGATGCAAAGCAATTGATAAGGTGAGGATTGCCGAATCCCCAAAAGTATCGGCAAGTCCCAAGGCAGCCATTTCCAAAATACTATGGACTGCCAACGCACCAAGCAGTACTATCGCGCTTCTTCCGCTTGTTGCTCCTTGGTTGGCGTCATCATTCGCAACTTTCTTTTCGTCTGCATTCTCCATCTCATGAAGAATCTCATGAGTGTCGAAGGCAACCTTTTCAACAAAGAAAATGAGCAAGTAGCCCGACAAGACAAGGAGATACGGAGTGACCTCATTGTAGCCTTCAAATCCGTGAACGCATTCGGGGATCAAGTGACCAAATGCCAAGGAAAGAAAGACACCTCCCGAGAAGGCATTCGCCAAAGAAAGCGCGAGCTTATTTTCACTGATCTTTTTGCTTCGAAGCGGAATCAACCAACATAGCACATTGAGAGTGGTAAGGAATGCTTGAAAGATGACCTTCCATCCATTCAACGGAATACCATACGGCATAACAGCATTAGCACCATCCATTGTCACTTCGATCATTTGTTCGACACTTCCTCCTCTTGGAATGTTCGTGCACTGGCCCTCTGCGGTCAAAAGATGACTACAATCCGAACAACAGTCCAATTCTTTGGATCCCATTACTGCTCGATGTGTCAATCGACCAAGAGTCCGTCTAGCTACTGGAGAAAGACTCGGAGGCGGAATTGATGGACATGATTCATTTTCTGATTCTAGGCACTCTTGCACTTTGCGGCTGGCGCGAGAAAAGGGTGTGTCAAAGAGCGAACTCTCTCGATTGTTGTGCCCACCCTGATAGTTTGCCCATAGCTTGACAGCGTTTGTGATCGCGACGCTTTCAGCTAGCAACACCAATCCAAGCGTTAGGCATCCTTTGGCGTGTCGAGGCGAAAACAGATGGCTTCCGTGTTTCATCTTGCACAAGTAGCAAGTAGTGACAATGGGATGTTCAATGTGCTGTAAAAGTTGGGGTGAGGTCAGAATTTGACAACTTCTTTTCGGGCAGGCTTCAGTTCAATTTAAGATTGATCTATTCGACTACTCGCACCGGGAACTACGGCACAGACACGACACAGATATTCAATATTCAATGTACTGCCGTTTAGATTTTGGGACATCGAAAATACAACTCAGAGGAACGGAACAGCGTGTAGGGCAACATGAAAAGAACTGGTAGAAAGGAGAACAAAATATTGATATAGAAACCTACCGTGATGACACCAAGTCGTCGAACTATGCGGAACAGCAGCATTGAACTGCTGGAGTCGTATCGCGCAGCAATGATGGAAACACAGGATTCCTTTCAAGACACCGAACACGATCCAGTAGACAGTTACGGGGAAGAGATCACAAGAATACTCAACAAAAGTAGAGCCTTTCAATCCTACCCGACTGAAGATCGAAGCGAAAATCTCTCAGCAAAAAAACTAGCTGATCCAGCATCCACCAGCGATTCTTCGAATGATTGTCCCCGTGAGTCTCTCCAATCCTTTCTCCAAAGAAAATGGGACTTTTTGTTTTGGAACACAAAACCAATAGAGTCTTTATTTGTTCTAAGTTCAGCGCTCTTCGTGGCAGCACTTTGGACTTCTGCTGTGGTTTCGGCAACCGCTAGTTGGTTGTACTTTCGTTTTCTTTGGATGCTCACGACAATGGCCCTTTCTGTATGGGTTGACTCTGCTGAACTTCAGCAGCTGCTACCCTTATCGCTACAGAAGCTTGTCGGCGCTTGCTACTCAGTGCTAAAATGGGTAGATGACTTTGTCTTGTGCGGCATTCGCTACCAAGGTCGAGAATGGAACAAAAAAGAATTTGAAGTGGATGATGGCAAATCTGCTCAGAGCAGCTACTCATATCTTTGGGCATTGCCACCACCATCTGTACGACAATGTGATAGTTCCTTCAACTGGGAGGGGAATGAACGAGGCGATTGGAGTTCCGAAACCAATCAGCATGCCAAGGCGATTGACTTTTGTTACAACATGTTGCGACAGTCTGCTATTCGACAAAAGTTCTCCAAGATGCGTAAGACAGCAGGCCGTCGAGTGAGTAAGCTTGGGCCGGTAGTTTCTTCGAATGAAAAAAATGGAGAAATAATTGCCTATACCAGTGAACTCAATACACCGAGAAACGTAGCTGCTCGGGAAACAACGCGCCCACCGGGTCTAACGACAATACACATCGACACATCTAACAGAGAAAAGAGCAAGACACCCAAAATAGAAGATTCAATGGGAGCGCTTCAGCTCAAGAGTCCAACAGATGCTGTAGAGGTGATGCACCATAAGGAACAAATATTTTTCGACTCCAATAGGACAATTCGACATGTGAAGAGTGATGACTCTATAGCACACAAATTGACAGAGAAATTAATTCTTCATGACGATGATATCTCCCTTTCACATGACATTGATCACAAGACAGGAAGGGTGAAGCAAGATGCGGAAGCCCGTAGCGAAGAAAACGCTGCGGATATGAATTGGATGGATGTAGGAGCTGAAATTGGTCTCAAGCTATTGGGGTCTGCTGCCGTACAAAAGGCCATGACATCACATGACACTGCTGAAAGAATCCATAATATGAAAGAAAACTTTGGAAGAACAGCACCTGAGGTAGACAGTCGAAGATCTATGACGACCTCAACTTCCGCTCAGCCTAAGGCAGTACTTGCACCGCCTGTTCATTCGATGTGGACATCTGCAACTGCGGCAGCTGCCGCCAGCGCGGTGATTTCGCCGTTGCACTCAGACAACGGAGATCCTTCTTCGGCGGAGGAGGAGCTACGACATCAGGAAATGCCTCTACACTTACAAGTGAATGGTGAGAAAAGGGATACCAGTGACTTGGACGAGGATGATACAAATCGTGTAATTCGCGGGAACTCAAGCTTGACAAGTTGCTCGGGAGGAATTGGTTTTTCGAGTTCAGCGTCGTTTCCCAAGAAGCGGCCAACGCCGAGAAGTATGCAGGGCCAATCTTTGGAGCTAGCATCGAAGACGTCAGTTGCACCAAAGAACCACGAGAAACTGCCAACAATCGGCCCAGGTGTAAAGATCGTCGTACCATTGTCGCCATACCAACCTGGCATGAAATCATCTCACACAAGGCACCAATCGAGCTTTCAGATGGCAACTGTTGTCTCCAGTAAAAGAATGTTTGTCGGAAATACTTCCAGAGACGATGGATTCGACACGAACTGCCTTTCAGTGACTGTCAAGCTAGACAGGTCTTTTTTGAGGGGAGGTGAATTCGCTGATCTCACGTTTCGTATTATGGATGCCTGGGGCAGCCGGTACGTGCCAAAACATTCCAAATTGCCGATAGGAACCTGCGTTGCAACAAGATATGGAATCGGCGTTTTGGTTGGCTGGCGAGTTGAGGATGATTGTCATATTGTTAGGTCACTTTGGCAGCGACGTGGACTTGGCAGTGTAGCGGCTTACCTGAACAGAGATTCAATTTTTTCGATGGTGGAAGCGGCTGTCGGTTTCCATGTAAAGACGATTCAAGGCAACGGCACCGTCGTGGCGGTCAAGTGTGACGGTCGCGGATACCGCTATGGCAAGTTTTCCGTAAAAATAACAGATGATGGAAGCAAGCTTTGTGGTCAAAATATTGAGATCGACCGATCTGAAATCCTAGCATGTCCAAGTGCGCAATTCATACCCGTAATTGAACACATTCGAGAAGCTGCCATGTATCGGCTGCAGCTCTTCGATTACAAGGAATCGTTAGAAGCACGTATCAGTGGTGTTTCCAGCGATCCACTAGCATTTGAAGGGGTTGTATGGCAAAATATATCAAAATGGTCTGAAATGTTGTGGAAAAGTTTCCTTCTTGCAATCGAAGAAGACGAGGATTTTGACGACGGGATGAACGAATTCATTGCAACTGTCATCAAGCTTTTGGACAAGCTCGACGTTTCGAACAACAACGTTAATAAAGATACTGAGTGCAGTGACAATCACATTATCACCGCAATAAACAGCACTGATGCCGCTGAAGTGGAAGCTGGAGAAAATACCTGGGTACATAACATCTTTGGAATCTATGGGGACACAGGAGAAACTGGTGTGGTCGCGACAGAGAGCATTGAGGTTGAATGGCTTCCTTCAAGCGATGCAGATGATGAGGCAATTCGGCAAAAGAGCTACAGCCGAATATTTAATGTAATCAAGACGATGATGCGGACAATTGAATACACAAAAGCCGCTTGCGTGGATGAACCGGATTTGAAATTAGCTCTTTCAATCTGCCATGAAATGCTTTTGTTCGCTCGAACTGTTATTCGGGTGCAGCAAAAGAACACGAACCCCTTCTCAATCAAAGTTTGGAGGCGGGCCCTGGAAGAAATCGCTGCAACATTTGGTCCTGCAAAAGAACGCATTGAAAGAGTTTGGGGTGGAATTGTCGACAGAATAGAGCAGCAGGGCAACAGAGCGAAGGTTCGCATATTGGAATTCGTTGACATTATCTTGCAAGATGATGTGCTCCTGCTCGCCATGGAACAAGGAGACTGGGGTCGTTGTCTTGATCACGTGGAGGATGCGATGGTCTCATCTCAGATAGTTGACGAAGCGAACCGTGAGCACTATCACAAAGCTGTGCATTTCATATTGAATCATTTTGCAAACGCTTCATCTGGTGGTGGAGTTGCTGGTGCACGAAATAATGAGAAGCTTACTCAATTTGCTCATTTTATCCAGTGCTTGGCATCTCCGAAGCGATCGATATTGAGATTCTTTTTGGAGGAAACGACACTTAACACGATCGAACGGATACTTGTTCGTGTCTTTGATGGCGATCCAAGTGCTGCACGCATGCTTACAATAAATGCGCAAAATTTTCATTCTCTCAGACAGTTTCGCATGCTGAAGGACTTTACAGTGGCGGGAAATAAATTTTGGATTCCATTGCTGGATGCAGCTGATGCTGAGTTCGCTTGGATGGTATCTCAAATGCCGGACGGAACAAAGGATTACATGGTTCCATTTTCGAAACTACTTTCCCTCTGCATTGTTGAATTTCACAAGATTAATGAAGGAGACATTACAAATCATTTCTTGGAATTCTTGATGGAGGAAGAGGCAGCAGCCATTATCCATGATCTCGATATGAAATTGATTCTAGCACTGGAGTCGTTCTCGAGGGATGTCCGAGATACAATGGTCATTTTGCCATATTACCCAAGGTAAGACTTTCACGATTCAAAACATATTCTGATGTAGCCCCGAACGAGTCTCATGTTTTTACAACTGCAGCATCGAAGATGACATCTTGAATCTCGTTGACGAGATTGACATTGATGGTTTCCTCCGCGAAGCAGCACTCAGCCTAGATGATCCAGAAAAGTTGTCAGACTTTATCCGAGAGAAAACTACCATTGCTATCGAACGGTTTCTTGTAAGTGACGCTGCATTTCTTTTCTACAGCACATGTCTTTTGAGTCCGATTTTACTTACATTGCCGTATCATGAACATGTAGGACTACCTGCCAAAAATGTCGATACCAGTGGAAAAGAGGGATCTCGCAGATGGATGGGTTCTGACTTGCCGCGGCGAAGATGGTGGTGATCTCACACTAACAGATTTAGTTGTGAAGCGGGAAAATCTGGTCTGTCAAGGTAAGACAATGCAGCCTGTGTGTCCCCACGAGAGAGCTTTCAATTCTAACCGAATGAATCTTCGTCACAAGTGCTTGGAGGTGATTCAATGTTTTTCCCAATGCTTAGCTCCGATGGCGGAGCTGCAGGTAAACTGAAGAAGAGTACGTCTGCGTCTTCGCCAAAGCAAAATGGCAAGGCCATTGCTGAATCGTCCATTCTGGATGAAATACGCGAAATGATATTGCAAGCAAAGAGATACAACTGTTGGAACGTTGGCGTTGGTGGGATCGTTGCCCCACCGTCAGATCGATATGTCGCTTCAGTCTTGGACGACTTGCCAGTGTCAAAGGTCCTTGATAGTGGAATAGAATTATGGAGAAACCTAGAGATTGACGACGATGAGCTTCTGGAAATTGCCATCAAGGACATTGCGTACCAAATTCGCCTCAATGCAGGCAAGAAACCAGAGCGAAATTCTTCAAATGGAGAAAGCACAGACGAGGCAGCAATTGCAAATTTCCTCCCGAGTATAACCTCGTCGTTTTCGTCAGCTCCAGATCTCTTGAAGAAAACAAGTTCTTCGGAATCGTTGGGTAGACGGTTTAATCCGCGAGACGATCCGACTGTCCTGTACCTTGAAATAAAAATGTTGACGTTCCATTTGGAAAAGTTTTTCTTTCGAATCGAGAAGGAAGAAAACAGACGCACCATCTTCGATCCAGTTTTCGAGGGCTGTGGAAACTTATTAGTGCGAAATGTTTCTATCAAGCTCCGTGTGGAATGTTTGAAAACCCAAAGCCAGGGACCAAATTCTGCAATTCCTATACTTCTTCTTCGAGAGCTTGACGTGCAGCTCGAGAAAGTGAAGCTTGAAGTCAGAGAAACTGGAGCTGATTGGTTGCTGAACAAAGTCGTACAGGGGTTCGAAGACAGTATAACGGAGGTCGTGGCGACCAACCTGGAAGACCAGGTTCGAGAGCAGGTGGATTTGATTTTGGATAACCTGAACTCCTATTTCGAAGTGAATCCTGCAATTGTTCTTGGTTTGCTTGGAATAAGTATGGATGATCTTGCCGAGCATGTGGAGTGGGTCTAATGGAATAATGCAATCCCTCACGTGGCAGATACATCTAATAACTATCACGCCACGACTCTAATTTTTATTTTCTCATCTAGCTTACAATTAAAAAATTACTTGAGTTTGAATTTACAGCTCTGGTCCAATGTTCACAGCTCCTTTCGAGCTCAGGTACATGGCCACGGGATGATCAGGCGAGAAGGCTTGGACAGCAACGTTGTACACAGAGCTACCGTCACCAAAATTTGTGACGGAGTTGATGTCTGCTCCATGTTTTTCGACGAGAAGCTTTACAACATCCAAATTTCCAGCTCGTGCGGCTTCGTGAATGGGTTGCCATCCATTTTCATCTTTCTTGTGGAGAAGATGTTTATCTTCCCTCGCAAGTCGTCCAATGTCTTGGAGGTCACCGTTAGCCGCTGCAACGTGTCCCTTTGGACGAGAAAGCCCAGCTGCAGAAGGTGCCTGTTTTTTCCATCCACTTGGATTCCGACGTGCCCAGTTCTTAATCTCAGGAGAGTCAGGCACAATGTATGGTGGAAAGAAGTCATCCTGTGTATCCCACTCAGAGTCGTGCAGGTGCTCTCCAGTTGGTTCGAAATGAATAAACACATTTGCGTAGAAGTTTCCTTTCAGAGGGAAAGGGCGACCATGAACCAAACTACCACTTTCGTATAGAACCATGTCACCTGGTTCCATTGTGACATTAACAGCTCTATCGTTCCTATCATATACCTCTAGAATCCAATCTTCCTCAACATCTTGAGCGATATTGATGATGCACGACGAGACGAGAGGCAGACGATCAACATGAGGCGCCAAGATGGCACCCTCCGTGTAAACACGAATACCATAAAGAGATGTTGCCTGGAGTTTCATCCCAGTCCATTCCTCAATGGTTGGTCTCGCAGCCTCCCAGATTCTGTTTTTCATAAACCTGCCTCCGCCCCGAAGACCTTTGTCTTCAACGCTGACCATATATGTGGGAGCAGCCCAGTTGTTCGTGTAGACATTACCGATTCCCCACTCCTCTTTATGCTTGTCGTTCTTATTAGCATCCCAGTAGTTCTTGAGAAGGCTCCACAACTTTTCAGGGGCCTTGATTTTCTTGAATCCAGTTTCAGTGTAGTTGACCATGCTCTGAGGCTGGCGACGGCTCATCTCTAATCGATCCTCTTCGTTTGAGTCACATCGCAGAGCCCCCTTACTACCCCATTTTTGCCTACAGCCTTCCATGTATTCTTCATGAACTGCTTGGCGATCGCCCAACAAGTTGCCACAGGTCAAATTCTTAGAATGTATTGGCCATGAGCAATCCACGTTATAGTTCTCACTAGTAGCTGAAGCTACAATGGTCAAGAGGGTGAATATTTTATGCAACATTATGGCGTGAGTCGAAATTATGAGACAGCAGTACAAGCAGACGTTGACCTTTGGGGGTTTTGGGGTTCTGGTTTGGTTTGTCGATGTTCGGATTTGTGTACCGTACGTTTCGGATGCTGGCCCGGCTCGCACACCACCGGCAAGTGTCTATATAGATCCGGGTTTCTTTTCATCTTTACCACCTACTAAAGTCTGACAGATAGACAGACCACAGTATTTTGGTCGACGAAGACAACTTACCGCCCCGACATTCGCAACGATTGCTGAAGGTGTGTTTGCTCGTTTGGTATGCAATGTAGAAAGGAAATGGAGAATACAATCTTGGTGTTGATCGAATGAAGTTGATAGTTGTTGTGGAATAATAGTTTTGTGGTATGGTGGTATTGATGAAGAAACCAAATTCGGTTACCTCTGATCATTTTTGGATTTCGTCACCATGAATGCCCATCTAAACTACCGTGAAGAACTGGAAATCAGGACTGCTCGTGGCAAATGCCATTCCTCTCATTACTGCGAATGTTGTATTGTATAAATCAGTATCTGACTTTAATTCTTTGTTTTTCAGCTGTAGTATTTGAAAGATGCCGCACTCATTTGGAACAAGAGCGCGTACGCGCCACATGTTTGCCAAGAAGTTCAGGCAACATGGACCCATCCACCTTTCGCAATACTTGATGAGCGTCAAGGTTGGAGACTATGTCGATATTTTCGCCGATCCTTCCATCCACAAGGGTATGCCCCATAAGGGATACCATGGCCGAACTGGAATCGTCTTCAACGTCACAAAGAGTGCTGTCGGAGTCCGTGTTAACAAGCTTGTCAACGGAAGAATTATTGAAAAGCGCATTCATATTCGCATTGAGCACGTCAGAAAGTCAAAGTGCCAAAAGGAAATTTTGCAACGCAAGAAGGATAACGAAGCAGCTAAGGCCGAGGCGGCCAAGACTGGGGTCAAGATCAACCTAAAGCGTCAACCAAAGCAGCCTAAGGAAGGATACTTCCTCAAGGCTGCCGGAGAAGACGGCGTCCTTACCACCATTCAACCTCTTCCATTCAGTGATCTTGTTTAAGATTATAAAATCAAATGCAAAAAATCTTCACTTACATCGTGCACTCATAAAACGCAGTAGTTCCAAGCAGCCTACGTACAACCATTCGCTGTTCAAAAGTTGAATAGTCGTCTCCGTACACTAATGGTTTCAATTCAGTAGATTGGGACTAAGCGTTGCGACAACGGAAGACTGTTCGCTTCTTTGCGTCTGGGATTTTTCTGGTGAGGATGAATAGAGAAGGTTTGGGCTTCCAAGCTGTAAAGTTTGGTTTCGTTGCTCAACAGATCCGATTTCATCAAGAGAATTAGAGTCTTTCTTCGAGGTCGAATCAAACTCGGGTTCTTGTTGACTTTGTTCAGAGTTCAACTGTGTTTCATATCGGGACGACTCCACAAAAGTTTGAGAGTCGCCAGCTTCTACTCTTTCCGATCCACTAGTTGGTGGCGGTGATTGTGATTGTGCAGTAAGCAGGCCAATTTCTTGCGAATGACTGCAAAAAATTTCAGAATCCAACAGCATTTGCGAATGACCAATAGAACGACTAGGCTTGCCAGTACTTGAAGCTGCTTGATCGTGCCTTTTGTAATTGTGGACTTTGAGGTTTGTGGGGCCCTCTCCAGGAGGAGAATTCGCTGTTTTCTCTTCGCCGTTGCGTTTTGTAGGTCCTGCTGCCTTTCGCACATACGGTGTGACTGCCGCAATCCGCGCGGCTTCCGGCTCTTTGACGATCCCAATTACTTGGCTTCTTTGGTCTTGATCCCTGCATAATCTCGCGTATCCTTCATGCTTTGTCAATTCGGTCTGGGTTACCATCTCACTTTCTCCTTGGATCAGAGCCTTTCCTTGCACAGGATCGAAAACGATGGGATGCTGATACGTGAAAACAGCTGCTACGAAACGACGTTCGTAGTCCCGCATTTTGTCCTCGCTCAAGTCTCGCTCCCAAGACCTCTCGCAAAGCTGAGCAACTATTGTTGCCAAGGGAGAAACTGATCCCCCCAAAAATGCTTCTCGCACTATTTTTGAAGCTGTTCCCAGCCCAATTCCCTTGAGCTTTCCAATATAGTCACAACCGACGGAAACAAAGAGAATAGCCATCATGACAGGGGAGAAATCTGAAAGGTCGAATTTACCTGGCACTTCTCCCAAGTCTTCGAATTGCAGCAATTTTCCTTCATCTGGAAATCCATTACCGCTGATATAGTTGTAAATGATAGCTTTTGCTCCGTGTGCAATGAGATCGGAATCCTCCGAAACGATCAAGTCTATGAAGCCCAATTTGGACAGATATGTTAACTGACCGTCAGCTTCATAAGGTGCAAACAAATAAGCAATATTTGCTTCCTTCAGACTTTCGATAAGACCACAAACAATCGAACCAAAGTGTTTTCCAGCTCCAGCTCGACGATTGGCTTTTACTCGGACTTCCTCTGCAGCTCGAAAATCACTCTGGTCAGGATCGAGGGGTGCATCTCGTTGACGAGTATGCTCTCGCCGAATGTCTCGACGCCGAGCTGCTTCTTTTGCTTTTATAGGAGGAGTTTCGCCGTCGAAAACAACCAGAATATCACAATCACTATCTTTTCGCAGCATTTCCAGTCGCTTCATGACAAATTCAGCACATCGAGCAATGTATTCATCGACTTTCTTGTCGTTCTTTGCAACCATGTTTTGCTGCTGCTCTTCCAGAAGTTCTGCTCTACCGAAATTTGTAAGGTGCCGTTCGTCGCCAAGCATGTCACCAAACCCAAATGCGGCTTTATATATTGAAGAGGTCAGGTCAACACCGATTCGAAATTTACGTCGCCTGCTGCGTTTGTGACTTCGAACTTTTCCTTGGGCATAGTCCCTTACGTCAACTGGGCGCCCAGCTGTTTCCAAGACCTTGGCCAAGAAGCCAGCGATTCCCATTTTGGCAAGTGATCGACACCAATTCGTGCAATCCGTCCTTTCCGTCAATGCCAATCGATGATTGAAGGGGTAGGACTATGGTTCGAAATGCAAGTTATTTTTTATTTTATTAATATTTGAAATAATAGTATATTTTTGAATATTCTATTCCATTCATCTTGCGATCAAAGACTGACTCGTTGGATTGTAACGATTTGATAGTGCTGCAGATAAATATACTTCTGCTCTACGCCATGTCACAGTCAACATCATCATTCACCAAACAGGTCGACTCCACTACTCTGTTTTTGATAATGCGCCGTAATCGAGCTACTTCTCGCTTCAAATGCTTTGGAAGATGTCGTCGGCGATCTCGTTTGTAGGGTTTCAGAATTTTCCGTAATTCCTGCTTTGCCTCGTCTCGTCTTCGTTTACGCTCTCCAAGCTCTGCAATCGGCAATTCAAAACGTAACAATTCCATCAGTGACTCTGGACTAAATACATCTGGGTCATTCTTCGCAAGTTGCTCGGCAATTGCAGCGCCTGCCCAAGCATCCCTGGCGCTGTATATTATCTGGCCTTTCGTCAGAGGAACCTTCGTCCAATCTGATAAAGTGATCCTTTTCACCTTTGGGAGATCAACACTTAGTGTTCTTGCAGCCAGAGCTTTGAGGCCAACCCGATTTGAATGATCACAACCCGTAGTAGTGCTAAGATCCAATCGTGACTTCGCATCCAGTCCACCCCATAGGCTGTGAAGATCCATCAGATCTTCGTCGATTGCACAACCGGCTTTGATGTATTTGGGGTCAGCGATTATTCTTTGGAGGAGTTCAGCACAGCCAGAACTAGGAGATCCAAAGTTATCACGGACCAGATGAACAACTAGACATGAGCTGGATGTTGCAAGCTGAACTGTTGCCGTATTTTCAAAAGGCTTCTTTTTTCTACATCGCCTGTAATATCTGGGAAGAGACTGAAAGAAATGATTGTGAGTGACACGAAGTGACGGCAAACGACAGATTTGAAGGATGCCCCATCGCTCGCTTTGAATAGAAAAGATGCTCATGCTTGCCCTAAATGCAAGTCAGGTTGTTTCAACAAAGAAAAAGCGGGGAGACTAAGCCCCTTTCAGTGTAGCTGGTTGAACATCATCGCATCGATTCTGGCTTTTGCGAGCTCAGTAGTCCCCCTTGCGGGAAAGTAGTTGTGATTGTGTATTTTCGACATCGTAAAAATATTCAGAGTCTGGTTAATCAGCAATCCTCATAGCCCTCGAAACTGGTCCGAAACAAAACAATAGCAATGCCAATGACTTCCTCACCTCTGTGTCAAAGCCAATGATTCCAATCTTTCCATCAGGGACATTTTCTGATAGCCACAATGAGATCGATGAGGGGTCGTTCGTGTATACTACTGGGACACTAGTGCAATGGTTGGAGTTCTCCCCGTATGAATACATGCTTGATCCATCTGTAGCCAGAGGAACGAGGGGAGGCAACACATCTTCAAGCGTGAATCGTTGAGAATTGAACGATTGCTCGTGAAGATAGGACGAACATACATGTAGAATTGAAGCGAACAGCACTAGTGACAACGTCTTTACACCTTGCCATTGAGTCATCATGGTCCTTTGTAAACCATGATGGAAGAAGAAGTTGACCTAGACAGTGTTGCATTGCAAAAAATATTCGGGACGGTGAAAAATGCACAGAACTGTTGTTTCAATTTTCTCATGCGTCAGGCGTCAGGTAGTTGTGTGAGGTGGATGGACGGACTTTGACTGACGAATGAATGATGAAGAAATGTGGGGTAATGCTGCTTTGTTCTGTGACACATGGGAGCCTTGAACATTCTAAGTAAACCTTATGTACGAACACTTTCTTATGATAGTAATGATCATTATTAATACTGTATTGCATATTTTTTCCCACAGTGTTTGATAGTCCAATAGGTTGTACGGTACGGGGGTACGATAGATATTGAATCTCACTAACCAAAACGTACGT